TTTGTGTTGTATATCTTCTACGTCCATTGTTGCTCAGAGCGTACTGTCACAGGTGGACTACGACAAGTTAGAGGACCCAAACACAGATGTGCGGAGGGTATGAAAGGCAGAGGAAGAACAAAGGGTGACTCGGTCAATATATAGATTAGGGGTGATTAGGGAAGTGGAGACGGCTGGGGAACACAGCAGGAACAAAATAGACATAATGAGACAGGGGAAGCAAAACTGAACATAATGCCCATGAGACAAGGTACTATCAACAACAACAAAAAGACAAGACATAACTGTTTCCTGACAGAGATAGAATACAGACAAAATACAATCCAGACAAAAAGGTGAATAAAGATGGAGCCATGACTGACTGGCAGAGGAGACGCTGATGACAAGACACAGAGATGGGACTGTGATAGACTAGACACAAAAGGGTACTAACACAATCACCAAGTACTCGAAATATAGATATTAAATATGATATTTCTTAAATTCAAAAGAACAAATCATTAGTCCACAAAAGAGACTAAAAACACTGGACCATGACATGTCTTTTATCTTGTCTTCCTCCCCTCAACCTCAAACAGTTGTCACAGATGGCTGCCCTGCTTTTGTCCAAAGTTTCTTCCTGTTAAAACTAAGTTTTTCCTTCCCACAGTCACCAAGTTCTTCCAAATAGGGGATTGTCTGATTGTTGGGGTTTTCTCTGTATTGTTGTTGCGGTAACCAGGAGGAAAATCAACCTGAACCTGAGATTTGACTAACGGACAGGATCTCCCCTCCTTGGGTCTCCTCCATAGACTTTTCTGGAGATGCTAAGAAGTATGATTTCTCTGCAGATGAAGAACATCCTCTGATCCACCTTCTTAAAAAGGGAACCAGCACCCCAGTCTGACATGGAGAGACCCCATCCCAGTCCTCCATGCAATGTTGCAGAGACATGTCAACTTGAACAGCCTTAAGGAATTTGTGGTGAATCTCATCCATGCCCAGGGACCCAAAAACTCAGGACTTGTTTAACTACATCAGTGACCTCACCTCCAGTAATGGACAAGTCTTCCCCCCAGCTCCAGATTCTGCAGATGTCTTGTGTATTGTATGTATGCGCTCAACATGTTGTATTTTTGTGGAAATTTTGTCCTAAAAAATGCACATTGAAAATAATGACGTCAACATCAAGTGATGATGAGCTGGTCCTGATGTTTCTAAACAAGAAAAAAAGAAACTGAGGTTCTGGGTTCATTCATTCACCCATCTATTCCTGCAGCACAAGGGAGAATTTCATGGTTTCTAGGAGTTGAATCTGTGTCACTACTACCATGCTCGTGTATATTTCAGGGGTGCAGTTTGAGCTCCTGTTGACAGAGTTGGCACAACATCTGAGGAGGCAGAGAAATAATTTCAGAGAGTTTATTGACCTGGAGCAGTGTTTAGCAGTCTGTCTGAGGTAAAATAGTAGTATTTTATTATTTCCATATCACTGTATATTCAGCATGAGTGCGTGTTTTTATCTACAAGCACACTTGTTGCCAAAAGCAGTGGTTGATTGGTCAGAACTGGTTATTCAGATCCAAAAACACAAGCTTGGTTAAAAAATTTTCTTTTCAAAATTCCTCCAGCAAAATCATGTTGTTGGTGCGAAAAAAATTTTTAACACACAAAATATTTGCATAGATGTTACGCATCTGGTGTGGAAAAGCCTTAACTGAAAGTCTTGCTCGATGGTCTCACCAAACTCCCACACAGAAGTTTTTGCTTCATCTACTGCCAAAGCCAAGTCCTCTTGGCCTGCCAGCTGCCTCTGGAAACCCGCAGATTAACCAAGCTCAACGGGTATCCTCCTTCAGGCTCTGGTGTCCACCATCTGGTCCAGGATTTACCACTAGCACCAATGACCTTCCAGCTGAAACCCCCTCTATTGTCGAGGCCACAACAGCTTCCTCAATAGTAAATGCACAGAATATGGTCCACTCTGACTCAGTGCCCACAGCCTCTTTCAGAATGCTACGGTGTCTGCATTTGGGTACACTGGGCTTCTAGTAACTAATTTCCTTCTGCCACATGATCCAGTTCACCACTCTGTGGTGATTAGTTGGCAGCTCCGATCTTTTCACCCATGTCCAGGATATACAGCTACAGATCTGATGGTATGATTACAAAATCAATCGTCAGTCTCAACATGTGGATATTTAAGTCTTCAGTAGGACAATGAAGTTCCCAGATAGAGCACCTCCAGCATCCAAGATAGCTGTTTACTCAGGATTCATTCCCTAACCTCAAGGCAAAGTGACAATGACTTCCATGTTGGGCAGAAGATGAAGCTTATCTACATGTTCAAATTTCTAGATGGAATCTGTAATGAAAGC